CTTGATCTTCAGGAGGTTAGAAGAGTGAGTGATGTGTGGCATAAACTTCTAATGCCGAGCATACAACACCCTCACCCTCCAAAACGACCCCTTTTTGGAAAGTAGACACCCCAAACTATTTGCTAAGAGGCATGTTGAATCAATAGAAGAATTTATTTTTTTACCACAAGTTTCTGGAAAATGACAAAAAAAATATAATTTTTTTTTTTTTTACACAAAATTGTCAATTAAATGATTTACTGCTCACATGCCATGGGTATATGTGGAATTACTCCCCAAAATACATTCTGCTACTTCTCCCGAGTATGGGGGTACCACATGTGAGAGACATTTTGGCAGTCTAGCCAAGCACAGGACCCCAAAATCCAATAAGCAACTTCAGGCTTTTAAAGGGCTTTATTTCCTCATTATACTTTCTGACTACCTATCACAGTTTTGGAGGCCCTGAAATGCCAGGATAGCACCTAACCCCCCAAATGACCCCTTTTTGGAAAGTAGACACCCCAAGGAATTTGATAAAAAGCTCGGTAAGTATTTTGCAGATCTCATTTGTTGCCACAAGTTTTGGAAAATGAAGAAAAAAACAAAAACTTTTCTATTCTTTTTTTATATTTCAAAACCTTGTGAGAAAAAATTAGATCTGCAAAATACTCACTATGCCTCTTTTTAAATTCCTTGAGGAATTGTAATGAGGAAGTTACGCACCTTCAGGCTTTCAAAGTGGTCATTGGATTTCAGGATCCTGTATGTGGCTAGGCTCCCAAAAAGTCTCACATATGTGGTATCCCCATACTCAATAGAAGTAGCAGAATGTATTTTGGGGTGTAATTCCACATATACCCATGGCTTGTGCGAGAAATAAATCATTTAAAATGACAACTTTGTGTAAAAAAAAAAAAAACAGTTTTGTCATTTTCCAGAAACTTGTGGAAAAAAAAAAAAAATCTTCCATGGACTCAATATGCCTCTCAGCAGATAGCTTAGGGTGTCTACGTTCCGAAAAGGGGTAATTTGAGGGTGTTTGTACTATCCTGGTATTTTTGCACCTCAAGAAATGTGATGAGCAGTCAGAAAGTAAAAGCTGTGTAAATTCCATTATCTATACCATATTTTGTAGACGCTATAACTTTCACACAAAGCAATCACACTTATTGGGAATTTTTCAATCAAAAACATGTAGCAGAATACATTTTGGCCTAAATTTATGACGAAATTTTATTTTTTTTGGATATTTTTTATGACCGAAATGAGAAAATATTGTGTTTGTTCAAAACATTTTTTTTTTCTTCAAAGTTTTTCTGGTTATAGCACCAAAAATAAAAAGTGCACAGGTGATCAAATACCACCAAAAGAAAGCTCTATTTGTGTTAAAAAAAAAAGGACATAAATTTCATTTATGTACCGTATTGCATGACCGCGCAATTGTCCGTTAAACTAGTGCAGTGCTGTATAGCAAAAAAATGGTGTAAATTGCAGTATCTATACCATAGTTTGTAGACGCTATAACTTTCACACAAAGCAATCAATATACACTTATTGGGATTTTTTTTTACCAAAAACATGTAGCAGAATACATTTTAGCCTAAATTTATAACTAACTTTGAGTTTACTATATATTTTTTATAACTGAAAGTAAAAAATATTGTTTTTGTACAAAATTTTGGTCTTTTCTTGTTTATAGCGTGAAAAATAAAAAGCGCACAGGTAATCAAATACCACCGAAAGAAAGCTCTATTTGTGTGAAAAAAAGGACGTAAATTTCGTTTGGGTGCAGCATTGCATGACCGCACACTTATCAGTTGAATTAGTGCAGCGCCGAGTAGCAAAAAGAGGCCTGGTCATGAAGGGGGGTAAATCCTCAGGAGCTCAAGTGGTTAATCATACACCGACTCGAATTCTACAAAATCACTGACTTTGTGCAAGTGTAAGAAATTATGCTAGTTTTAAGGTAGTAACACCAAAAATTTATTTGATTTCTATTTTTCTTCTGTTCGCTCACTGTGCATTTTGCAAAATGATAGAAATAAATAAACAATTAAACAAAATATATATTTGAAAGTATTCTCATCGTTTGTCAAACCATATAATTTCTGACAAACAGGCAGTGCCCTAAAAAAAAAAAACCCAACAAAACAGGTACAATAAAGGTCTATATTTGTTTTTAAAGAATTTTTATTGCCAGACAAGAATGCATCAAATTACATACATGGTCCATAGCATAGCTATACAAAATATATAACAAAGACCAACAGCTAAATGTACAGTCTCAGCAATGACCATTGTAGAGAAGAAAGTAATGGACTGTAAAAATCAAGCCAGGTAGCATTATTTACTTCTGCCTGGCAGTACTAGTGTCGTAGGTTCGATTCCTAACCACAGCACCACCTGCCTGAAGTTTGCATGTTCTCCCTGTGGGTTTCCTCTTGGTACTCCGGTTTCCTCCCACACTCCAAAGACATGCTGGTAGGCTAATTGGCTCCTGTCTAAATTGCCCCTAGTATGTGTATGTATGAATGTGAGTTAGGGACCTTATATTGTAAGCCCCCTGAGGGTTAGGGACTGATGTGAATATACAATATCTATATGTAAAGCGCTGCGTAAATGGACGGCGCTATATAAGTACCTGAAATAAATAAATTGAACCCATATGTCTAGCAGGGTCTACCTATAATGTTTATTGAGACTGTTATACCCAGTTAACTAATAACCAAACCTTGCTGTGTTACCTTACTAATTCAAAGAAAGCACAGAGGCACAAACAACTAGGACTAGTCTTTAAAGTGTTACTAAACCCACGACCCAGCATTCCTTATATCCGGTCTCCCACAGTACACAGAACAAGGAAATGCAATTATTTTAGTAGATATAAACTGCTAAATACCTTTTCTCATTGGCAGTTAGAGCAGTCTTGTGACTTCTATCAGTGTCCAGCCGAGCACTGATTAAAGCTTGTAGGAGGAGTTTTCATTTTGCTCTAGGAAGGATGCAGAACCCCTGACTTCTGTCTGGACAGTGCTGATTGGTCCTGTGCTGATCACATGTACTCTCCCAAGATTTCTATATCTAATATACACCAAACTGAGCATATGCAGAGTGACTCCACACAATATGTCTTAGGAGATAAGAGGGGGACACTGGAAGAAAGGGAGGATCGGAGAAGTCAGGGTCAAACAGTGTTTTACACAATGCAGAGGATTAACCCCTTAGGTTCCATAGTGAGTATAACAAGCGTGCTTTACTGCATATACAGACTGATTTTACTGTTGTGGGTTTAGCAACACTTTTAAAAAAGTTTTTAAAAACACACTACTTACTGAAAAAACAAAGTGCACATCTACCTACAAAAAATAACACAAAAACATGTGAGCTGCTTTGATATCAAATGACCAATCTGCAGCTGCTACCACCTCTCACAAACAGCGTGTAACAAACAAGGTATTGATAAAATGGTGTAGCACTATATGTATAAATAATATAAATGCATGTGCAAACCAAAATTTTAAATAAAATAGTGAAACACTTTGTCCCATACCCTCACGTAATGTGTCACAATCTCACTATAAATGCATATGTACAACCACAATAATTATAAATCCATGTGAAAACACAAAATATGAAAATAAAATTGTGAAATTTCGAATGTCATGGTGACACACTTTGGTGTCCTTCTTTATAAGGAACCTCCAAAAATATTAATCAAATGATTGTTGTACCCTTCAGCTGAATATCTGGAAAAGTTTAGAGGTCTATCATCTTGTCTGAAAAAGGACACAAAGTGCATTTGACCGTATGGAATATGTAGGGTCCTACTAGCAGGGTGAGAGCACAGCTGAGGGGTAAGCAGCACATGTATGAGGATTAATATTCTTGGAAGTTTCCTACGGAAAGGACACTTGGTGTTTTGAGATTACAATTGGACTAGGAGTTTGTTTTCACATGGGGTTTCAAATTAAGAGACTATATTTTTGATCTATATGCATTTACGATACAACTGGGTTTTGAGCTTTTTTTATGGATATAGTGTGAAAGAACACAGAGTGTGGGAATAAAGCGGAGCTCCACCCACAAGAGGAAATTCCGCTTTGTCCCCTGCTCCCCATTAAGGATTGGCACCTTTGGGGAGAGAGTACCCAAATTTGACAGGTACCAGCTCCCACTTCCGGTGCGATCACCTAGGTTGTTCTCCCCCCTCCCTCCCTCCCCATAGTGTTCTGGGACACGTGACAGGCCCCAGAAGACTATGGGGCCATTCACAAAAGTGCAGCGCTTCTCTCGCATGCGCAATGGGCACTTGGCTGTGAAGCCGCAAGCTGTTAAAGCCGGGTACCGACACTGAAGATGCCGGCACCAGGGGGAGAGAAGAGGGTCGGTGAAACCAGCGGTGGTGAGGACACCGCTGGACCGAGGGACAGGTAAGTGGCTGTAATATAAAGTCAGCAGCTACAGTTTTTGTAGCTGCTGACTTTAATTTTTTTTTTTAGGTGGAACACCGCTTTAAGTATTCCACAACTGTATTTTCATATTTTGCTTTGCACAAGCATTTGTAATTATTATGGGTATACACACCTATTATAGTGAGAGCGACACATTAAGAGCGGGTTTGGGACAAAGTGTTTCACTATTTTATTTCAAATTTTGCTTTGCACATGCTTTTCTTATATTTTACATTTTGGTGTGTACATGTGTTTATAATAGTGACACACCATTTTATAAAAAAGCACATCTACCTACCCCATCACTACCTTTATCACTGTTTTTTATTTTAGAACAGGAGTATGCCAAAAAGGCTTAAAAATATTTTCTAAGTGATGCAGCCTCTCTTTCCATGTCTTCTTCTGTTCTCCATTTATCTGGGCAGTCTTGTCTTTCCTTGTCATGTTCTTGCAAAATTTCATAAACTTTATCATTTCTTTCAAAATCTCCAGGTTTTCTGGGTAGAATGTGCACATGAACATGACGGACAGTCTGTCCAGCATCTGGACCATCTTGGATTGAAATGGTTAAAGAGGTGCCACCAAAGTGGGTCTCCACAACATTTGAAACTCTTTGTACCAAGTTAAAAAGGTCACTAACTTCTTCAGGCCACAGGTCCCTAAAACGTTCTGCAGGTCGTAGAGGACAAACCAGTACATGTCCAGGTACCACTGGCTTTCTATTCACAAAGGCAAAGGACAATTCAGTCTTCAAGAAGATAATTGATGGCTTAATAAGATGTTTACCAAACCCCAAGGACATTCTATTTCTTTTTTTTTTCAAGTGTATCCTTTTTGCAATGTGGTGATGAAGCACAGTTGATGTTTCCAGGTACACAGTTAATCGTAGGAATTCAAAATCTGCAAAACAAAGAATTATTAGCAGATCTATTTAAATCACAAAAACGAAGGTAAAACTTATTTTCTAATAAATGCACAAACTGGTTATTAAAGTGTTACTAAAGCCAGTCTGTATATTAGTCTGAACTATTTGGTACGGACATCCTTCTCTTTTGTATTTTAAGCATTGTGTATATGAGAAAAAGCAAACATCCTGAAGCAGAAGTGTATGTGAACAGCTATCCTGCAATATTTTTACAATACTACTGACAAAACAAGGTGGCAGTAATGGTGCACTACAGCAATGCATGGATGAAACTTCTTTAAATACTGGGTAGACAAGCATGTGTTCTCTCTGCATGTGTTCAAAGGCTTAATTTTCAGTTTTGTCTGGAGTGTAAAGTTGCCCATACATAGTTTGAAATTTGGTTGGATCAACAGGAACCAGACGAATTTCGATCCAACTATGTCCATTCCTGTTCATGAGAAGTCAATTTATCAATTGAGGTCTCGTGAATGGTCTTTACTGGAAATTTTTCTTTCGAACAGCACTTGCAGCCAGTCAGTTGCAGTTCTGATCACTGTATTCTGATGGGAGGAGAATCCCGCTGTCCATATGCAATGACACAGTGGGGAGTATTCCTGTCTCTACATCAAATGTGTGGATGGGGAAAATCAGTTCAGATAGTATGGCCAGCTTCATACAAGTACATAAGAGGGAGTGGATGGAGACACTCAGCTGTCATGCCCCATTCACATCTCTGCATAGCGGGAACTTACATTCCCGCATGCGGTTTTTTTTTGGGGGGGGGGGGCCTTTTGGAGGATTTTCACTTGTCACACATAGGGCAGCCCATTCACTTGAATAGAATGCCCTACGCACGGTCGCCCCAAAGAAGCTCCAGAACATTTTCTTTTTTAGAGTGGAGATTGGTGCATTTTTTACTGTGCTTTCTGGTGCACTTGGCATTTCTCAAATGCATGGCAAAGCATGCATTTTCTGTGCAGTTTGCCAGTCGGAAACACAGATGTGAATGGAGCCTCGTTGTTCTTGTGTAAACAAACCAACTTCACTTTCAAGCCCCATTCACATCTAGCGTAGTCAGAGTGCACGTTTTTGGCTCGATTTTCCCGTGACACTCATAGGGCAGCCCATTGATTTTAATGGGCTGCGCTACACGTGGCAAAGTAGCTCATGAGTCATTTTGATGCGTTGCAGGTTTTTACTATGTGTTTTGCAGCGTTTGTCACTCGCTTTTTGTTGGATTTTTAGACACATATAATACTTCTTCTAGTGTCTTGAGGCGATTATGAATGAAAGAGCCATTGAAATAAAAAATGAAGTGTGATTTTATTCTATCACACAATGGTGTCAAATAACAATGTAAAGCGTATTATGAACAGTTCCATGTAGATAAAACTACTGTAGAAATAACAAACAAAAGTTCAAAGAAAGAGAAAGAGTCACCATTATTAGGTATTGAAGTACGGCCATGTGCTGTGTTGTCCTGTCCTTCAAACTCTACTTGTCCTTCTCATGTCTCCTTGGGAAGAAGCCGGACGTGACTATATTGTAGCCGGAAGTGATCTCAGTATGCACCTGTTGCAGCTTCTCAGACGTGTGTATGCAAGAGTCATGTAGCGTGTAAGTGTGTGTCTTGTCCGTTGTCTCATGGCCTTTTATGAGGCAAATGTACGTCATAGTTAGTGATCTTAATACCTTCTATGGAAATTATTACTGCTTAGCAAAGCCATTTCATAAAAGGGAGGGGATACTATACATATGATGTTTGATGGACAGGAACATATGTATGCTGATGTACTAATGATGTAACCCTCAGCTATATATTTAAAGAATAGTATAGCTTAAGAACATATTAATGTATAATCACTAAACTACAGTTGTGACCAAAATTATTCAACCCCCAATGCTGTAAAGGGGTTTAGGGACTATAGTGTACATTTGGAATTGTATTCAGAATCAAATCCTACAAGGACGTTGTAACTACCCAAATGCAACTAAAATGACATCAATTGTTTATGTAATACAGTAGTAAATGGTTCTTATGTGGTTTCTTCATTGCCACAATTATTCAACCCCTTAAAGACTACCACTCTGAAGAACAGAGGTTCATACAGGTGCTTTCCATCAGGTATTGAAAACACCTGTGGATGTCACCGAGCAGCAATCAAGCATAAATAAGCACCAATTAGGCAGCTTTAAAATGACTGTGATACTCAGCTCCTTCTAGACATTTACTGGTGTGGTTACAAACATGGTGAAGGCAAGAGAATGGTCCAGGAAGACAAGAGAAGAGGTGATTTCTCTTCACAGGAAGGGCAATGGCTATAAGAAGATTGCAAAGATGTTAAACATACCAAGAGACACCTTAGGAAGCATCATTCGCAAATTCAAGGCAAAGGGCACTGTTGAAACGCTACCTGGTCGTGGCAGAAAGAAGATGCTGACTTCGACTGCTGTGCGCTACCTGAAGCGTAGAGTGGAGAGAAGTCCCCGTGTGACTGCTGAGGAACTGAGAAAAGATTTGTCAGATGTGGGTACAGAAGTTTCAGCCCAGACAATAAGACGCACACTGCGTAATGAAGGCCTCCGTGCCAGAACTCCCAGGCGTACCCCCTTGCTGTCTCCAAAGAATAAGAAGAGTCGACTGCAGTATGCAAAAGCCATGTGGACAAACCACAAAAGTTGTGGGATAGTGTTCTGTGGACTGATGAAACAAAATTAGAACTGTTTGGGCCCATGGATCAACGCTATGTTTGGAGGAGGAAGAACAAGGCCTATGATGAAAAGAACACCTTGCCTACTGTGAAGCATGGTGGAGGGTCAATCATGCTTTGGGGCTGTTTTGCTTCTGCAGGTACAGGGAAGCTTCAGCGTGTGCAAGGTACCATGAATTCTCTTCAGTACCAGGAGATATTGGATGGAAACGTGATGCAGTCCGTCACACACCTGAGGCTTGGGAGACGTTGGACCTTTCAACAGGACAATGATCCCAAGCATACCTCCAAGTCCACTAGAGCATGGTTGCAGAGGAAAGGCTGGAACATTTTGGAGTGGCCATCGCAGTCACCAGACTTAAATCCGATTGAGAACCTCTGGTGGGACTTAAAGAAAGCAGTTGCAGTGCGCAAGCCTAAGAATGTGACTGAACTGGAGGCCTTTGCCCATGAAGAATGGGCAAAGATACCCGTAGATCGCTGCAAGACACTTGTGTCAAGCTATGCTTCACGTTTAAAAGCTGTTATAACTGTAAAAGGATGCTGTACTAAGTACTAAGATTGAATGTCACTTGGGGGTTGAATAAAACTGATAATGCTGTGAGCACAGAAAAGACATTTGTGGTTATTTCATTATAACTGTTATGTTATATTTGTCTGACCTACAAGTGCCTCTTTAATGTAAATGTAAGCAAGATGACTGAATGATCAAAAGCAATGTCAAACTGGCCAAAACACTCAATTTCAGTGGGGGTTGAATAATTTTGGTCACAACTGTATATATGTATCAATGTTAGAAACGTATACTAAATACACACAGATACTATTAAAATACATAATGTAATAGTAAGTCACTTCTAATAACCTTGACATAACTACCAGATACTTTATGCCTAAATATAGTATACTCAACCTTCAACTGGTTTAGCTTACTCCTGTCTTATTTTACTGTCTCAGCTTGACTTATTCATATCTTTTTCAGTCTCAGTTTAATTGAAGAATACTAATACTATCATTTGTCAAAAGACCATTTACACATATTAATATTAATTATGACTAATCATAAAAACCAAATATTTTGCAAGCTTGCCATCAATATAAGTGCTGAATCATAATTTAGATTTATTACACTTTTTCATGTGGCAAAATGTATGTTTACTTCTGCGTTTGGTTGCCGTTAACAATTAACACCACCGAAAGTGCAACTAGTGATGGCTATGCACTATAAATTTCGATTGTACAATCTCTGTATGATCTCCTTTAGATTTACCAAAACTATATAATAGGAGGACATACCATATATCCAAATCACTGTGTATCCAATCTGGCAGACTCTTGCACTACATAACTGACAGTAGATCTAACGGAGATTGTACAAGCAGATTGTATTGTGTATAATAAGCTTTACAGAACCCAGGACATACTTCTCTTGTTTTCAGTACTACAGCTCTGATCCATATAGGTTGTTATCTGATCGGTCAGCTCCTGCACACATGTGAGGGCACTGTCTACCCACACAGAGATGCACAGGTGTTCCTCCATCCAGGTAGTCCCATTACTGTCAATTGGGATGCAGCAACTGCATGGACACAGGTGCTGCTCCCAATGTGACGTCTGTGTGGATTTACAAACCCTGAATGCTCAAAAACACAGTGCTCACACAGATTACTGATTCAGAGGTCCTACGTGAATAGGTCTTAGTGAAAGAAATTGTTTGATTGGACCAGACTATTTAAACTTTATTAAAACCTGGAGATCTATTTTAGACATATACAGTTTACTTACATCATTCAACTGGATAATGGGATTTTTTTGTTACTTACTGTAAAATCCCTTTTTCTGACTTCATTGATAGACACATTCTCTATTCTTAATCTTGAGCAAACAGGGTTTTATAGCACCACCTACAGGAGTACAACAATAGGCAGAAAAGAATTTGGCATCTCGTATGGGAAGTCCTCTGAACAGATAAAACCTCCTCTCTGCTATCGGCAAGCCAGTTAGTCACAAGCAGTGTCATAAGTACAAACTCCAAAAGAGGGGTGGGTGCTGTGTCTGTCAATGAATTCAGAGAAAGGGAT